AGATCCTGGGATCAATCCTAGCATCTCTAGCAATCAGTATATCATGGCTGTTGCCAAGCAAGATAGTCACTGCTAGGCTAGCAGTTGTTGTTGTGTGCCTTCAAAGCATTTCCATCTTATGGCAATCTTAAGGCAAACCTATCATGGGGTTTTCTTGAAAAGTTTCTTCAGAGGGGGTTTGCCAATGGATTTGCCATTGCCATCCTCTAAGGCAGGGGTAGGCAACCTGTCCCCTTTAAGGGCCGAGGGACTTCAGCTCCCAGAAGCCTCAGCCATGTTGGCCAATAGTCCCATGTTGGCCAATAGCTCCTGGGATTCTGGGAGCTGAAGTCCCTCAGCCCTTAAAGGGGACAGGTTGCCTACCCCTGCTCTAAGGATAAGAGAGAGTAACTTGCACAAGGCCATCCTGTGGTTTTACATGGCTGAGCCAGGATTCGAATATTGGTCTTTGAAGTCACAGTCCAGCATTCAAACCACTAGGAAATGCTACACCATCTAGCTAGGTTAGATGGACCATCCAATGTTCATACAATGACTGCTGGATGATCTCCTTCTAACACAGAGAGAGAGAGAGATCATCAAGAGGAGGCCACAGTTTGCCTGCCTGTAGGTTTATCTACCCAGATTAGACCATGGTCTTTCTTGTCAGACAGGGAATCCACTCCTTTCCTGCTACTGGAGAGCCTGTAATTAAAAGGACACCTTCTACCACTGAGCTGTGATTCCTCCACTATGTTTTGGACCAATGCAGGTTTTTTCTAAAGTTTCATGAATAAACCTAACCCAAATTACTGCTGACTCTTGATCCCTTCTCCCCAGTGAATTAAACACTGCTGTATAAGCTCTTTGTCTAGTGTATTATTTCAATTATTCTCCCTTCTCCTGCCTTCTTTGCTCCAGGAACATTTAACCTGGAGGTAATGTTGATGGATGAGCAGGGTTTAGGTGAGATGCTCACTTCAACCTTTCTGGTGGTTTATACAGGGAGAAAAGTATGGCAAGCAAATGTAGTCTTCAGTCAAAACAAATTTCCTACGGGGCCAAAAGGGTGGGGAGAGGATGGAGACCAGTTTATAATCATTTATAGTTTGTTTATATACATGATATGAACACAGGTTTTTGTCTCCAAAAATAATCTTTAAAGTGGCTTTACAAAATGGAAAACCAGCTATAACAATCATCTGTCCTTGGAACACAATTACCAAAGCGTAATCAAGGCAAAAGCACAAAGTGGCAAAGCTAGAAATCAATATGTTACATTTGTCTAATAAAGAAACATATTTAGTTTCTGGCAGAATGCAGACAGAGAGAAAGATCAAGTAACCTCTTGGGGCAATGAGATTTAACATATAGGACTTCCTCATAGAGAGCACTCTCTCGTATGTTGCCACCAACCCGCTGCACTGGGGACAGGGGGATATCAACATTTTATCACATGGACATGTTGTGGGGATTGCCTGCCAGCCCTAAGACTAAGGACTCCAAGAAATATCTGATGCCACTACTCAGTTCACCCTGAGCAGAAAGAGCCCCAAAAGCTGCAGTTCAGTTTTCAAACAGGGAGAAGCATTTATTGTTGTGAACTGCCATCAAGCTGACTTCAATTTATAGTGACCCCTGAATGAAAGGTGATCACCAACAACCCCACTCAGGTCTTGCAGACTCAGGCCAGCCATGGCTTCCTTGACTGAATATATCCATCTGGAATATGATCTTTCTTTTTGCTGACTGTCTTCTACCTTACCAAGCATTATTGTCTTTGATTGAGTCTATCAATCTGGAATTCTTTCAAAATATCACTGAAAGTTTATTGATTCTTCAAGTTTGAGCTGATGAAAGAACTTAAGAACAACCACACTGGATCAAAACAGGTGTTTATCTCATACAACATTTTGTTCATTCTGTGGTCAGCCATTTTCCTATGAGAAGTGCGCCAGTAGGAGGAGTGCACCCATGTCCTCCATTTCATTGTCATTGTTGCTAACCGCCATCAAGCTGACTTTGGAGACCCTATGAATGAGAGACCTCCAAGTCCCCTTATCATCAACATCCTTGCCAATGTGTTGCTGATTTAGAGCCGTGGCTTCCTTCACTGAGTCTATCAATCTGGAATGTGGTCTTCCTTTTTGTAATCGTCATTACAACTGAACTTGTCACCTCATCTGCATACCAATGAGGTTTTGAATTTCAATTGACAGTCTCATGGCTTATATAGGTCTCCATTCCACCTCATGCACCTGAGGAAGTCAGCTCAAGTCTGCCTTCTACTTTACCAAGCATTATTGTCTTTTCTGGTGTGTCATGTCCACAGTACACAGCCTCTGTTTAGTCATCTTGGCTTCTAGGGAGAATTCAGGCTTGATTTGCTCTGGGAACCATTTACAGTGGGACTTCAGTATCTGTTCCAGACCACCACCACCCCCATAGATACCACAATGTGTGGATGCTCAAGTCCCAATAGTGTCACCTGCATGCAGTCTCACCACCATTAGAGACAATGG